ATTATATTAATTTTAAGACCCTTGTTAAATCTGGAAACTTCCAATAGTTTCCGGATTTCTTCTAGAGTTTGTTATGCTGGTTGGAGAGAAAGACTAGATCAGTGGCCCCTGGCTTACTCATTTTACTAAATTAAGTGAGAGGACTCCTGAATTCATTTTCGCTTTCTCTGGAGGTTATGAGGGTCCTTTTTATTTGAGGCTTAAATTTGAATTCCTTTTCTATGAGGTGAGGAGACTTTTTCTATTCTAGCCTTTGGCTATATTTTTCCCTTACTCAGTCACTTGCTGAACTTTTTCTTTTTAATATGGTCAGGTAACTTTAAGATCATTTGGTAGGTAATACTGTTTTTAGTAATTTAGCTTACCTCAAATAGATGCTTAAACTTGTCTGCTTATATATAGCACCTGGATTAAAAACACTCATCAGTCAGCTCTCTGGCTAATGGTATTTAATAGTAAACATGAATCTAAACTTGCCCGCTCAGTGTGGCCCTTACCAGTGGTAGAAAAGTACAATATTGGAAGGCAGTAAGTTGACTTTGTAGACTAACCTTCTGGCCCCACCTCTTATTTTCTTGGTAAAGTCATTGCACAGATGACTTTTTAGAGATATATATGAATTTTTAAACAGCTCACAAGTTGAGTGTAGAAATCAGAATTTCTTTGACGTTGTCGTCACTCCTACTCAGGGTTTGTGCTCTGGAACAAGAGACAAATGCACCCACTCCAAGATGGAAGAAACGGGCTGGGCAGTTGGCACAGCAGGGAGTCTGGCAGCCCAACAAGCCTACTGCCTTCCAACTTGTGACCAAAATGCACCGAGCTTATGTACTGTTACACCGGGATGCACATTTGGAGGGAGTAGTGTACTTTTTTCAAGTATCTTCCATCACTCAAATCAAAATAATCACAAGATGTAAATGTTGACTATGATTATCAGATAAAACAGTAAGAGTACCATTAATGATGCACAAGCAATCTTCTTCCATATCTTAAAAACCCTTAGAGTTTAGTTATAGTCCTCCAGACAGAATATTCCAGATTGCCAGCCACATACAAATGAGCAGTATAGAAAGATATAAAAATTCCACATGGGGAGCAAATGTGGTGTAAGTTAGGCTAACTAAAACAAAAAAGTAGTGTCCTATGATAGTACTCTAGTAGGTTGTATTATGAATATACCCCTTGTGCATATTTTGTTAGCCAAGCTAATACTAAAAACAACCCTGTTGTTGGATTGCTTCCAACTCATAGCCACCATATAGAGCGGAGCAGAACTGCCTCCCTGAGCTCCCAAGTCAATGATCTTCACAGAAGCAGACTGCCACAGCTTTGTCCAGAGCAGCTGGTGTGAATGGTTACCAGACACGTACTTTAAATGGACCACCGGGGCTCCTTAGCCAAACTAATAGCCTAAAGTATAATACAATTATATTTATTACTTGTTTAATAAAAAACGTATGTTTAGAAGTTAGTTACAAATTTGTCTCTGGTGGATATGTCATATGTAGACAGAAAAGAAATAGATTAATTTGTCTTTTTTTTATTGTAGAGAGGGGGAGTTACAAAAATTCCTGGGGAAAATTGATGAATACACTTATCAACTTTCACAGAAAATCAGCTAAATCTCTTTGTATACTTCAGTTAATACTGAGTCTTGTGCGATTCAAACCAAATACATGTCTCAGGTTTATATCTGCACCCAGAAATGAAAGTGAAACATTCAAAATAGAAAGCTTCATTACAATTGTGCAACATAGAGTTGAGAGTTGTTACCCCATTTTATCACTTTTAAAAGCTATTTTGTTCTTCTGATGCAGTAATTACTCTGATCAGGGGAGTTTCCTATGCTGCCTTTCTGTGATGGTAAAGGCTCCTTGAGAGCCCCACTCCCCCTGGAGATAGTCTCTGTTCCCCTGGTTAGAAGTTAAAATTGCTCATGTTTACTGAAGACACTTTGTGCACTCCGTGTTTTAATCACTTGGCCATTAGGGTATTGTAAGGGATAACTGACCCAGGAAGTCTATTGTGGATGTTGAAGGTTATTTTGACTTTGAACTGCTGCATTGATATCTTCCCCATCCCATTAGAAAAATGGGACTAGTAATGGTTTGCTCCTTTCCATCCAGCTCCCCCACCTCGCACACACACCTGACACAACCAGCAAGAACATTGAATTGTTGTAGTAACAAGTGTGTTTTGACTAGAGTGCACATTATTGTTACCAACAGCAATGGAGGGAATCTTTTTTTCTTTTCTTTTGACAATATGAAATAAATAGAAATGCAAACTTATTGTAAAGTAATACCAGTCAAGGTGTTCACTTACCTTCATGGTTACCCGAACCCTCAAAAATGTTTGGCGTGGTTTGCCCCTCTTAAAACTCCTAGGTTGAGGTCATCTATTTTCACGGACATGTAGATAGATCTATCACTCCTCCACCATCAATCCATGTGCCTTGAAGGGCGTTTTTGTGTATGTGATGATGATGGTTGTTTTGTTTAGTCCCAGTACTTAGACTACCACCCATTATTCTCCATAATCTTACGTATAAAATGTAGTGATTACATAAATAATACATTCTTTTGTAATTTTCACCATTCTAGATAACTGTTTCTTGCATGACCAAAATAGATTAAAATGAGCCATTTTCTAACGTTGGAATTAATTTAGCCCATAGTAAGAGACCTATTAGTGGAAAGGGGGAGAAATGAACCATCATGTAACATAGCTCTCTTCTAAACACAGTCTTTTAACTTGTCACTCGTTGTTCATTTCCGTGCCTGGGAACAGCTGCACACCCACACTCTTGCTCATTGAGACTGAAGATGTAGAACATGCTTCCAGGAGTGGTGATAGGCAGGTCTCATGGTTCAGCTTGGGGAGAGCAGGAGGTGACTCATCCTGAAGTGCTAAGTCAGTTAAGAAAACAGATAATATATTCCTAGCTAACTACCAACTGGTAAGTAAGTTTTTCACCCTGGCCCTCTCTCCTAACATTAAAGCACTGTTGATATAAATATCATGACAATATCTGATTGGTTAGAAAATTTTGTCTTCCAAAATTACCAAACAGGATATTCCATAAAACTTTTCTAGGAAACCCAATATGGAGCTTTGTAAAGATTTTTCATGTTTCCTATTCTCTTTTACATTCACCCGAGGTACAGAGATTAACTGCATGAGGTTCCCTCTATTTTTATTTTGTAATTCTATACTTCTGGCCCTTCCCCTTCCAAAAGGCTACTTCATATATCCAGAAAAATGTAAGATGTCTACCCTCCTCCACCCAAGACAGAGTCGATCATCTTTGACACCTGCTTAGTCTCCTGAATCTGCTCCTGAGTCTAATCCCTTTTATTGGCAACACCACTCACCAGGTCAGCACTACAGATTCTTTCAGCCTAACTCAGTCCATTCTCTGTCTCCATTGAATGTGTATGTCAAGAGAAGTGCACCACACTACATGTTTGCAATGTAACAAGCTTCTGTTTAAAAAGCAGAAGGAAACACGGCCCAGGTTTTTTCAGTAGTGAGAGACTGGTTCCAATCCAGTTATTATGGGCATGAGATTACTTTTCTGAAGTTCACATAGGTTGTCTACTCTAAGTATCAGTTTTAGAAATGGGGTCTCTATCCTGCTTTAGGAATGAACCCCTTTGCTATTGTTGGTGTGATTTTCTTAGACTAGTTACTTGTTTAAAAAATGTACCTTAGGTAAGTTTTTACTTTATTTTAAAAACTAGCATTATGAAAGAGGTATGTAGTGGAAAGTCTTCTTCCTCACCTTATCTCCCAGATTCCCAGTTTCCACTGTCCCCCCAAAAGGTGACTACTTCTCTTAGTTTATAATGTATCCTTCCAGAAATTTGTTACTGGCAAAAATAAAACCAATACTTGTTGTCCTCTTACCATTATGCAGCTTTCCTTTTCACTTAATACATTTTGGATATTTTTTCATCTCACTAGATAAGAAGCTGCCCCACTTTCTTTTAAAGCTGTAACATATTTCGTTTTTATGGAAATACTAAATTTATGTGACCACTTCATCGAGAGATTTTTTAAACTTGATTATACATGATATTATCATGAAGAGCCTTGTACAAATATCACTTTGTGCAAGCATAGTTGTAGGATACAGTGCTCAAAGTCAAAGGTGTCTGGCCCTAGTCGTCTGAGAATGATAAGCACAGGATTCTGTGACATGCTAGTCTACAGAAGGGAACGCCAGCTTATGCTTTGCTCCTCAATCTTTTGCCAATATCCTTTCTTTTCTTTTCTTTTCTTTTCTTTTCTTTTCTTTTCTTTTCTTTTCTTTTTTTCTTCAGACTTTCAGGCTTCTAATTTCTCCTGCCCTGTTTTTGCATCAGGTTTATCTCTTCTTGACTATGAAATAATCTTCGGCAACCCTAACATGTAATTCTTGACTTCTCTCTGAATAGCCTTTTTAGACTCTTAGGGTGGCTCCTCAGTGAGAATAGTCATCTGATCAATAACCCAGGTGAATGTTCCGCACATGTGCCATGGCAAGTGTTAAGTGAAGTCACCTAATAGCGGTCAGTTTTGCAAGGCCGCAGTGATAAATATTGCTTACCATTCTTCCCATCTGACACCACAAAGCACTTGCTTGAAGATTTCATGTTATCCGGCAGTGCAATCTAATTCCCTGCTTGACATTTGAAATTCATCCCCAGCCCCTTTGTGTTTGGTGGGAAAGGTTAAGGTATAGTTTAAGGCCCAGCTTCCATTGAAGCAAACTTTTTTTTTTTTGTAAAGGAGGGGTTTTTATTGCTCTGTGAAATTCATCAAATTAAATTAAAAGGCTCTGGATTGTATTTGATTTTGCTCATAACAAATTTTTGATGCCTCCTTTCCCCTTCAATATTTGAGATTTTTTTCCCTATTGTGCATGATAGAGGAATGCTGCTAAGCTTGCAAGTAATTAACTTGAATTTGTTTTGAGTAATTCTGCTTTTTTTTGGCTTTTTGTACCTAATCAGAATTGATGTGACTGAAGTGCAAATCTTCATAATAATCATGCATTTGCTGGCAGTGATTGGAGGACCACCTTTTTGGCAATCTATGGTAACTGTTCACATTGTGTATCCCATGTAATGCATGCTGATGTTGCTTGTGTTTTCTAAAATAATATATAATCCAGTTAAAGGATAATATGTATTTATTGTACTCTTTCCCGGAATGAACAGTCCTGGAGCCAGTAGGATGCAAACTTCACTAGGGTGAAGGTATGATACATTGTACCATTTGGAGTTCTGTGGTACATTAGATCTGTTCCATTGCTTTTGTTGTTGAAGTCCGGTGAGAATCTTAAGTTGTTACTGCCGTCCTATTTTACAGGTAAAGAAACGGGAGATCGTGGTGTAAAAGTTGGCAAGCCAATGACAGGATTGACTTCCCTATTTCAATTACATCAAGTAGAATTGTACAATTGCTACTATAATCTGTTTCTGAACATTCTTTTTTCTACGTGGGCACCTAACATCGTTTCCCTTTTGCCCTACTCCCACCACTGTACCCTCACCGTCCCCTTATTCTACTTGCTGTCCCTATAGGTTCATCAGTTCTGGGTTTCATCCACCGAAAAGTGGAAAAGCATATCACACCGCTTCACGAGGTCACTCTATGAACAGACAAAAGCCAAACAACACTGTATACCCCAAAAATACAGATAAGGGAATCTGCTGAGAAAGTTTTAACTGTTCAAGTTCGATTTATGCCTTTGATCTATATTCCACTCTTCCGAGCACTGTGTTTAGTGATCACTTTCCTCCTGTCCCTCAGTTTTAGATGGGGAAGGTTCTCCAGGTTTATTTCCAAGTAGTCCACAAATGGATCTTGAGCTCCCGCTGTCCTCCGTCACCTTCTGCCCACCCGAGTCTCGCAGTTCAGGCTCGGATACTGATCCCTCCTTCTACTTTGATTTCTATTCCAGTCCTCCCGTGGCTGATGATAGTGTGGTTCTTCCATATGGACTTAGTCGACATTCCACTCAGATGGCTGTCTGTTAGGAGACAAGCCTCCAAGACCCCAGACGCTATTTTATCTGACAGCCAGGCACCATCTAAATTCTTCACATTTGATATAACACCTATACTATAATTTGTTGTACTGTATTGCTATATTATCTTCTGTCCTCCTGAGGGTGAGTATCAAGCAAAGCCGTGATGTAAGAATTAATTGTTATTAAGTTGGAGCTAGGATTTTAATGTGAGCCCCAAACCCATTCCTGGATCTGTCTTTTTTTTTTTTTTTTTTTTTCGGCCTTTTAATTTGCTATAACTTGGGAGTTCATACATATATCATTCCATAGTTCAGTCATGTCCAACAGAATTTTACAATTGCTACCATAATCACTCTTCAAACATACTCTCCTTCCTTGACATCATCTCCTTTTTACCACCCCCTACCCCTCTATATCCAAAATCCTTGTTCCATTTGCTTTCCCTATAGGCTCAACATCCCTGGCTTTCGTTTACCGAAAAACAAATAACACAGTTCACTCCCAATGGCAACACACCACTGAGATACACCCTAATATGAGCAAACATAAGCAAAATGGAATGTCTGTCATAGGATTGCCAGAGTAAAAGGTATCTTAGTACAGCATGTAGGTCGTTGATGTAGCCAGACCTTGTTTGCCCACCAACCAGTAATAGTACAGCACTCTTGGTACAGCTGTCTTCTGCTTCCTCAGACACCATGCATTTTCCGCCTTAGTCCTCAGGTTCCAAGTGTGTCTGAGGTAGGGTCCAGTTCACACAGTGGAGTTTCTGCATGGGGTCTCACTGATGTAACCTCTGGAGGATGCCATGTACCCTGAATATCCAGGATTCAGTATCCCAGCATTCCATGGAACCTGGCCTGGGCTCTAGGATACCCCCAGGTGTCCTAGTTCAATGTCTATCTGCTGCACACCACTAAAGACATCCCCCCACCTAGTGTTCTCAAATACATCCTCAGTCACCTCTCCCCCCACCTGGAAGTCAGCCATCCCTCCCTTCCCACTAAGAGATATACACCTACGTTGCCCCAAACATTACCATTCCCTCTCCTCTCCCCTGCACTGCCCTTCCCATCAGTAAGCCTCATCCTTCTGACAGGGCTGCCTCCCTCTCCTTGGACCTCACACCAGGTCCATGTGGCAACCACTCAGCAGACAACATTCTCCCCCCCCCCCACCAAAAAATTCTGATCACAGGTGTCATGAGGCACCCTCCTGCCAAGTGACTTACACTATACTACCTGGAGTGATGGTGTGTGTTTCATTGGCACTGGTCTGCCTCCTTACCAGACTGTCTGGTTGAGCCTTGTACCCATTCTGCTGCTTGTTCCTACCGCAGTGGACTCATGGGATTTGGCTTTTTATGCCTGACTAACTTAACATAACATCTTCCATATCCCTCCAAGCCTAGGTGTTATATGGTTTCATCAATATTTTTTAGGGATGTGTAATATTCCATTGTGTATATGTACCAGAGTTTTTTATCTGCTCTTCTATCGATGGGAATTTAGGCTGTTTCTAGCTTCTGGCTATTGTGAATTGTGCTGCAGTGAACATGGGGGAGCAAATGTCTATTTGTGATCTAGTCTTATTTCTTTGGGGTGTATGCCCTGTAATGGTATTGCTAAATCATACTGTCATCTGTTTGACGTATCACCATATCGCCTGTGATCCTGATAGTTTGGGGCTTGAGCCACCTTGAGTTTGTTTGGGGGCATGGAGTGAGATATGGCTCTTGTTTCATTCTTCTGCAAGTGGATATCCAGCTTTCCCAGCACCATGTATTGAAGAGGGCATCTGCTTCCCGTTTAATGCTTTGGGGCCTGTGTCAAAAGTCAGTTGTCTGTATGCAGATGTTTTTATTTCTGGGTTTTCCGTCCTGATCCCTTGGTTTCAGCATGTGTCATACCAGTACCAGGTGGTTTTGACAACTGTGGCTGTATTGTAGATTGTGAGGTCAAGAAGTCAAGAAATAAGGCCACCTACTTTGTTGTTCTTGAGAAGCCTGTTCTGGGCTTCTTCTCTTTCCATGTGAAATTGGTCATCAGTTTTTCCATTTCTTTGAAGAATGATGCTGCAATTTGGATTGGGACTGCATTGAATTTGTATTGCTTTAGGGAGTATTGAGGTTTTCACAATATTGGGTCTTCAGATCCACAAACACAGAATATGATTCCATTTGTGTCGATCTCTTTTGATTTCTTGTAGTGATGTTCCATAGTGTTAGATTTATTCCTACGTATTTCTGCTTTTGGGGTGACTATTGTGAAAGGTACTGATTCCTTGATATCTTTTTCTGTGTTCCCAGCACTGGTATATAGGAATCCAATTGCTTTCTGTTTGTTAATCTTGTATCCTGCTACTCTACTAAACTCTGTTGTTTCCAGCAATCCTGTTGTGGACCCCTAAGGATTCTCAATATATAAAATTATATTGTTTGCAAATCGGGAAATTTTCACTTCTTCTTTATCCAATTTTACACCCTTGATAATCTTGCTGTTGTCTTAGGTACTGGCTAGGACTTCCAGCGCAATGTTGAATAGAAGGGGGGTAAGGGACATGCTTGTCAGGCTCCCTTATTCAGTGGAAAAGTTTTCAGCTTTTCTCTATTGAGTGTAATATTGCCTATTGGTTTTTCGTGTATGACCTTTATTGTATTGAGGATTTTCCCTTCTTATCCTATCTTCCTGAGAGTCTTTTTAGGAGTGGGTGTTGGATGTTATCAAAAGCTTTTCTGCGTCAGTTGATATGATCATATGGTTTTTGCCCTTGTTCATAGGGTGGATTATGTTGATGGCTTTTCGAATGTTGACCAACCATCCCTGCATCTCTGATATGAATTCCACTTTGATATGCTGTTGGGTTCTGTTTTGTTGAAGATTTTGCATCTATGTTCACGAGAGAGATTGGTCTGTAGTTCTCTATCCTTGTGGGGTCTGTGCCTAGTTTTGGTATCAGTTTTATGCTGGCTTCATAGGATGAGTTTGGGAGTTTGCTGTCCCTTTGTATGTTCTGGAAGAGTTTTTGTAGGCTTGGTGTCAGCGTTTCTCTGAATGCTTGGTAGAATTCTCCTGTGAAGTGATCTGGACTGGGCCAATTTTAGTTGGGAGTTTCTTGATGATCTTTTCTATTTCTTGTTTTACTATGGGTCTGTTAAAGTTCTTAATACCCATATGTGTTAATTTGGGAAGAGAGTGATTTTCCAGGTATTTGTCTATGTCCTCCAAATTAATGAATTTGTTAGAGTACAGTTATTTGTAGTATTGCATTATTCATCTTTTTATTTCATTAGGGTCTGTTGGGTTTTCCCCTGTTTCATCCAGAAATCTAGATATTGACATGCGCTCCTTCTTTTCCTTTCTTAAGTTTGCTAGTGGTTTGTCGATGTTGATCCTTTGAAAGAACCAACTTTTGCTTTGTTGATTTTTTCCATTGTTCTGTTTTCCAGTTGATTTTTCTTCGCTCTAATTATGATTTCTTTTGCTATTGGGAGGCTTCTGCTGTTGACTATTCTAACTGCTGGAGGTGCTGTGTTAAGGTGCTGACTATAATCTCTGCTCTTTTTTCATGTGCGCATTTATTGCAATAAAGTGACTTCTGATAATTGCCTTTGCTGTGTTCCATAGGTTTTGGTATGTTGTATTGCCATTATCATTTGCTTCTATGAATGTTCTAATTTGGGCTATTACCTGTTCTTTTTTGAGAAGTGTGTTATGGTGTCTCCAGGTGTTAGTCTTTGTGTTTTTGTTCTTTCTGTTGTTGATTTCCAGCTTTTTGGCACTGTGGTCAGAGAAGATGGTTTGAATTGTCTCTGTGTTTCAATTTTCTCAAGCTTGCCTGGTGTCCGAACATGTAGTGTATTTTTTAATATGAGCTGTGTGCATTGGAGAAGAATGCGGGGCTTTTTTTTTGCTTGTTGGTTGGAGATCTGGAAATGTTTAGGTCAAGTCGTTCACTTGTGTTTTGCAGCTCTTCAGTTTCTTTATTGAGTTTCCCACCTGTTCTATCTTTCTTTGAGCATGGTGTATTGAAATCACCTACTATAATTGTTGATCCAGTTTTG